TGATTCATATATTGCTGAGAAGAAAACTAATTCCCTAGATAAATGCTTTTGTATATATTATATAAAAAAGACGGACTAATAAGTTTTCATATGATGGAGGTTGTCATGGAAATGACTTCAAAAATATATTATTCGTGAAAATCCATTTGTATTACCATCAAATAATATAAAAAAGAAGATGCGGTATGATTGCCAATGAGACAACTCTTCAAAAGGGACCAAAAATGACACAGAAATTAACAACTATGGATCACCGTACGGCCTTCAACAATGAGCAACGCCCATACCGCATAGTACGTATGGTATATAAAAAATTAACATACATGTTTATTACAAATGATGGAAGCAATAAAAGTATAAATCATACAATGAAACATTTTTTTCCCTGTACACAAATAGACATCTGCAACAATGACGGAACTAAATAATAAACAATGTATTCAAAAATTTTAAGATCCCACATATAATGCTAGCTTCTGATGCTTACAAGTAAGCTATAAAACCAAGAGCTCCAAGAGTTGAAGTTGAAATCATCCCTTTGCAAATGTTACAGACGCAATCATGAGTTGGTGACCGTTATGAATATTCAGTCATATATATATATGAGGACTGATATGTTACAATTGTGGTAACCACAATCCCGACCTCTTTTCCTTGAGTTTTACCTACTGAATTAGACTTTTGAAGGCCATACGATTTTTTGTTGTTCGCCTTTCACACATGAAAAACAGTTTCATTTCAATACTTAAAGAATTTTAACAACTAATTAACGATAATTCTTCCGTGAAAAAAAACCGTAGATCATAAAATCATCTACTCTTAGCTTAATGAAAATACTCTCATGTACATCTTTCATGCTTGTGCTTCATGCACGCGGTTTGAGCAGAACGATATGAGAAGCTTTAAAAGAACCTGTTATTTACGTGAAAAATATATATACTATTAGTAAAGAAGTGAACTTACATCAGTCAGTCAGTAAATAAGTCGTGTCCAAAGTAATAATAGGGTATACAAGTAATTATCTATATGTTCAATATAAACGGGACATAAATCTAACTAAACGACTGTCATGGCTATCGTCCAGTGAAATTCTACTAGGTCCAAAAATAAAAGAAACTAAACTTGACTGCCAAATACTAATGACAAATAATGCTATCGTTTAAAGTAGACTGATACACAAAGGTTAATGAAAGTCTTATCTGCCAACTGTTGACTTTAAAGAGGTAGTGCCTACGGTTTCACAAAAAAGAAATGGATAACAATTTGTTTTAAGTATACCGTACATCTGAATATAAAATACCTATGAAATCTATTTTGGTGCAAATCTTGCCATTCTTTATACAATATTTTTTTTTTTTGCAAAGAAGTTAAATTTTTATAGTTGCGACAAACATCATTTGAAACCTATGGATTAACATAACAAATGCACAGGCGTACACAGTTCTATTAAATAAGAAGAACGTGTTTACTAAAACAGCTTGGAGTCGTGATATAAATCCGACACCCCTTACAAATTCGGCTAAAAAACGAGTTCGTATACAAGTTTTAGAGAGATAAGCCAAACCACCATGTGAATTAAATACTTTTTTTCATAGATAGAATGAAATAGATGAAATGGTGAGTGTGTAGCTTAAGTCATATATAATTCACCGTCAACAAATGTGGTCAGCCGAGAGGAACGTTAAAGGGTGTACAACAAAAACAAATGTAGAAATTAAAAACAAAATAATATAATAAAAACCACAAGAAACTGTTAGAACAGGCATACCAAATTCCATACATACAACTTACTATTCTTTGTTTACATTATTTATCAATAATTTATTTATTTGTCAATACGTTTTAGTCGATAGAATAACAATTTGCGAGAAATATGATAACAATTATTTCTTCCGTCCCTCGACTCTAAGTAGAAATTCTTACTGATTTAAAAACGATACTTTTAAAAGTGCTATAACTCAACTAATTGATTAATAAAAAATCTTGCAAAAAGGAATTGGAATACTGAAGTGATTTTAAAGTTATCATTACTTTCCGTATTTGCGACATGTGCTTTGAGTAGGTCTGGTATACATCCTTGTATGATAAATGAGCTCTGGTCTAACGAATGACTAAACAAAGTGTATGTGCTCTTTATTACATTCATTAGAGTCATGAGTATGAAAGGAAACACATTTATTCATTAATATCTATAGAATTACTGAAGTTTAACAGATTTGCAGTTTCATGACTGTCAAAGATACTGCGTTTGTAGATTCCGCTTGTTTATTTCTGATATTCTTTATTAGATAACAGTAAGAATATACTACGTTTGGTTTAGTTGTATTAAACACTAGTTTGAAAACGCTGACTGGTTTGCTTTACGGCCAGTGGTAAATATTGTAATATTTAACACAACATTTTAAAGCTATCCTAAACCTCTAACTTGTTACCTTAATTATGATTCGCTACACATTTTGATGATATTGAATATGCTTAATTCATACTTCATTATTTTAAGCATCTGTTTAATAACGTTTTACTACGTGATTTGACTTGACTTACTTTAAAAAATGCAGAATCGATATAATATAAAGATGGGATAATAAATACAATAGGTTTTTTTATCATAAGAACTGTACCGGTATATTCAAATCGAAACGGCCAGTCCTATTTTATTTGCGATTTTAGGCATTAACTGTACATCGATCGGCAATTATTACAAAGATTCAGAAAAGTATTTGATGTTGTAATTCCGTTTGTTTATCTCTATTATCCCATTTCACATATAAGTCAAAGTGTTTGCTTACGTTAAATAACACAACCATCTAGTAACGACATCCCTATACTATAAGAAGGCGTGCAAAACATTTTGCTCTATACAACTTACGTTATTTGCAGACCCTACCTTTATCAATTGTTGATGTGTTTTTGTCCTGAATATTGTTGAAATATTTGCTACTGCACATTAAGTAAACAACAATCAATCATATATGTAAAATCTTACGTTGAATGTTATATTTTGTTAAAATCTCTAGATTGAAAAAAAAATACTAAACCAACATAAAGTCGAAAGAAGTTAATGAATATTTTCGATAGTCTAACAATTCCGAAAACATAATATGCCTATATATATGATTTCTTTACGAGGAATTATACATACAGGATCGGTGTTTGGTAGAATATTCGACAATCGATTGATTCGACAATTTCTTTTTATAGTATACATATCTTGTAAACTGTATTCGATCGTATAATTTTGTCGATTCAATCAAGTGCTGTACCAAGTTAAAATATTTCTTTCCTGTCAGGATACATCAACTCAGTCAATTGTATGATCATTATAATCATTTCAGTCAACTGTATCATCATATCATGAACGGAATACGATCGTATCAATCGTATTCATTCGATACGATTATGCGACGGTTGATCAATATAATCATTCCAGTCAACTGTATATTAATAATATCAACGGAGTACAATCGTATTGAGTGTAATCAATCGGTACGATTGTGACACGGTTGATCAATGTAATCAACTCAGTCAACAGTATATTTATATCACGAATGGAGCACTATCGTATCGATCGATCGTATTCAATCGTTACGATTGTTCTACGGTTGATCAAAGTAATCAGCCCCGTCAATTGTATCTTCATATTATGAACGAAGCACGATCGTATCGATAATCAATCGATACAATTGTGCCAAGGTTGATCAATATAATTAACCCGTTCAACTGTACATTCATATAACGAACGGAGCACGATCGTATCGATCCTATTCTATCGATACGATTTTGCCAGAGTTGAAATCTGTTCTTGTGCTGCCATCTTTGTCATGTACATTTTTTGGTTTTGTGTCCAGGTTATGTTAACTATATCCATTCTTACATCGGACTCGGACATCTCTTAAACTGAGTTTTACTGTGCGTACTGTTGTACGTTTGTTTTTTCTACATTGGCTAGAGGTATAGGGGAGGGTTGAGATTTCAAAAAACATGTTTAACCCCGCCGCATTTTTGCGCCTTTCCCAAGTCAGGAGCCTCTGGCCTTTGTTAGTCTTGTATCATTTTTAATTTTAGTTTCTTGTGTATAATTTGGAGTTTAGTATGACGTCCATTATCACTGAACTAGTATACATATTTGTTTAGGGGCCAGCTGAAGGACACCTCCGGGTGCGGGAGTTTCTCGCTGCATTAAAGACCTATTGGTGGCCTTCGGCTGTTGTCTGCTCTATGGTCGGGTTGTTGTCTCCTAGAACATTCCCCATTTCCATTCTCAATTTTATTACACATTATTTTGACAAATACTGTATCTTAATAAAGGATCCGGGACCAAGATATGCATAAATTCAAGGTCTCGTATCTTAATAAAGGATCCGGGACCAAGATATGCATAAATTCAAGGTCTCGTATGGTAGGGAAAGTTGATGCTGAAATTTATATACAGTCATTTAGATTCAACTATAAGGACATTATTACAAGTAGAATATTTAAAAAATTCCATACCTATAATCTTGACAGTCAATTAGCAAATCTTTCTCTTTAATATCTTGACGTGGTTTTCCGAAAAAGTGACCACCGTTATATAAATAGTTTGGGCACTTTATCATACATACAAGACATGGTTCTGGAATAAACCCTTTTAATAGCTGACTGTCTATATATGCGGTTTGGGTCATGCTTATTGTAAAATGTCGAATGGTGACTTATAGTTGTTAACTTCTTTGTCATTTGGTCTATGATGGAGAGTAGTCTCATTGGCAATCATACCACATCTTCCTATTTTTATATTCATCACTCATGCTTATAACTATAATAAACATACGTTTGGAAAGACAAACAGAGCATTAAAAATACCCAAAAGAACAGATAAAACAGTTTAATGTCACTTAAGTCTGCGAAAAATTGCCATGTATTTAATATCAATTAATGTAAACATCTTAAACCATGTACACCTTTAAGGTATAATCATTATAGTGAACATAATAACCATAGAAGAAGATAAAACTCGACTACAGAGTATGTAATCTATATTTTTATTTTTCAAAAGTATAACCGACTGTGTTACATTCATACTCTACGAATCATCATTGATGTGTTCTTCATTGACTGTGCTCCTTTCCATTTATACCAAAGCAATCCGTTGTCATCCTTTTTATTTCCTATATACAGTCCGTTCAAATTACTGTCATAACATTTGTTATACCACCAACCCCCTTTAAACCTTTCCGCACAATTACTGCTATAGATGTCATTATCCTTATCTTTTGTCGAGAAAGCCTGTTTATCATGCATCTTTAGAGAATCACCTAATATTATATATAAAAAGAAATGTTTAGAACCGACAATGATGTAAATTAAAACCAGCCAGTTTTTTTTAACTTCTCTTTTTTCTTCAATTTAGGTTATCTCTACCAACGTTTGAAATATTGAGTCAAAGTCATGTTTTTATCTATAATATATATGTATATACAATTAGTAATAAATTTTATCAACTTAAGAAGCAATGCTCGCAAATATACATTATTATATATTGACTGTTAAGTTACAAATACAAAGAACTTGAATTTGTGAATGAAATATAATGAATTAAAAACGTATTTATAGTTAAATGTTGAATATGAAGATAATTTCAAACATTCATAGTATGAGTGTTGTATATCGTATTCATTTTTTGTGTATTGTTTTGTACATACACAAGGTCGTCAGAATTTCTCTCTGGTCTGTATATAAAGAACAGTCGAAGAGGAAATGGTGTAAGTCTCAATGTTGCATCCACAAAGACAAGATGGGTCAGGAATTACATTGATTTTGAACAAGTAATAATTCAAGAAAGATGAGTAGCATCTTAATTGAGTTAGAATTATATTTAGTTTCCTCGGTCCATATAAATAGTGCTTTGGTACATCTTTATTTATAGTATTTAGACTTTTTAATTTGATTTTAAACTTTGAGAAAGAGTCTGCTTTTCAAAGGGACAAATCGGTATGATTCCATGGTCTAATAGTTGATGGTATAAAATATTCTTCAGTAAGGTATAATCTACAAAAAGGAACAGTAATGTCATGTCATTTCTTAAGGGATATAAAGTTGTGAACAAGATTGTATAGATAAATCGTAGCTTGTCTATATTAAATGTTATAAAAAAAATATTTGTAATTTTCGTCTTTTCCTCGTGTCAGCTAAAGTTTCAAACCTAACTTCTTCATACAGACTTTCATGTCTTGTAAATATAGGCAAACCAGTAATTATTTTAGCAGCTTCTAGCTGCAAACGTTAAATTTTTTTTGCGTATCCTATCCCATAATTATCCTAAACCACAGTTGCATATTCAAAAAGTTAGTACTGGAGTTTCCTCAGAATATTTAAAAGTTTATAATCTCCAATCTTCCAATGTCAAATGTCTTCCTACTTAATGCAAAAGACAGTGTATGTTTATCATATACCAGTATGAAGTTATAGCAAAGGCCAAAATCTTGAATGTCAATTTGACTTTTGACATTGACATCAATTTCAAGTTCATAAGTCGTGGGTTTTTTAAAATAGAAGAGCATCAAGACTGTTTATGGTTAAGGAGATATACTGGCAAATATCTAATTTAAAATTTTCAAAGTGGAGACACATATTTAAAATATCTCCAGAGTACTTCCACCAAATGTATAGCATGTTGTAACAAACAATTAGACACAAACCTTTTATTGCTTACTGTTACGTTTAATTCTGAGTAAAACATGATAACAATTCAAGTTTAAGATATAGACCGTCACCTAGACCTTTGACGTCGACGACAATGTTAAATTGGTGTCCTTAACTGAGGAGATATTCTGAGCAATATTCTTAGTTGAAACATGTTTGATTAAGCAACAGAGGACTTAAAAATATCCGAAGATAGTCTTTTAAAAGACCTGTCTCAGTCTTTTTAACAGCGGCTTGAGTATAGTCTTAAGTGAAATGAATAATTCATTACTTGTTTACATATCAATAATCGCGAAAACTGTTAAAATAAAGACTAATTTTCTATTTCAGAACCATATAATTCTCAATAAAATACTATCAACAATTGTTAAAGTATTTCTATCTCTGATTTAGAAAAAAATTCAGCAAAATCTCATTTGAAAAATGTCAGTATTACCTGCCGTTCCACTATAACCATTCAGTGTAAGTCTGTACTTGGCTGACCTGTCGGCAATGTAGAAGGTAGAATATTTTGCGTATGCTTGATCACCATTAAAATCCTCCAGGTTGACTCTGAGCTCATAATGTCCTTTGGATGTAAGTTTGTACAGTTTATCATTACCTTTTTAATCATAAAATAAGAAAGAAACATTGAGGTGAATATTATTTTCATTTATACCTTGTTTACATTCAAATCTACAAAGATTGTTCAAATCAAATCTAGCAGTTTCGTTTATATCAATCCTTATACAACATTTAAAAGGAGAAAAATTGAAAATACGGTTATATAAAAAATGACATCAAAATTAGGAATATGATGTAGTCAGGACAAGTTTAAAGTTAAAACAAATGTTTCCGTTCTTTTAATTTTAGTAATCTTGAATGAGTTGTTTTTATTTTAAATTGAGAATCTATTTTGTTGCATTTGTTAGGAACCTTGTTTACAAAATGTGATCGAAAATTTGAAATTGTTAATTGTACAATATAAACTTGTTCCATTTTGTAAGCACATTCTAAATTTCAAAAGATCTCATGTAGAAGTTCATGCCCTAGTTTAAAAAAAAATCAACGTAAAAACAACATTGATAATTGTTTCTTCTAGTGACATATATCTTTCGACTACTCGATGTAAGTGAGAAAACGTGTTTCACGTTATCCTGGACGTTATCTGATGAAAATGCTAACCTAGCCAAAATTCCGTCTTTAGATTACCAAATCCGTTTGCATATTCTTCCCATCCTCGGTAGAAATCTACTTTACCGTCTTGTCTTCGCTGAAAAACCTAGATTTTAAAATATGTTTATATATGAAACGTAAAACAATTTGCAGTATATCATGTAAGTTATGATTTAAATGAATGAACTAATTACATGCAGGGTTTCCGCTGCAAAGAAAAATTGTGGGGATTAAAAAAATCATGACTGGCGATCGAATTTAGCGGAAGAAATATAACAGTTTGATTTCGTTCATCTTGTTAAATTTTTCAGGTTTCTCGGACTTTTTCCCTGCTCAGACAATACTCGGGTTTTACCTTGAACTCGTCACGTGTATCAATTTTGACAGAAATCATAGATTATATAGAAATATAATAAATGAAACAAAAACGCTGTTAACTAATTTAAAAAAAAAAAAAAAATACAAGTACATAACAAAAATACGCGTTTTTCGTAATTTTGAAAATTTTGAAAGAAAAATTGAGAGCTGCGAAAAGATTATGGTTTTGGCGGAAGAGGTGACGAAATAAGATTTTGACTGCAGGAAAACCCTGAATATATGTATAACACATACCAGATATGCGCATATATACAAAATAGACCACCATAATATTCATAAATATCAGTCAAAAGAAAGTTATTTTAAAAAATAGTACTGCGAGGTCTGCCTTTCATTTTACAGTAGAGAATACTATTAATTTAAAGCAACAACAATAATTCTTTAGTCACAAGATTCCTTTACTACTTTCAGAAGTAACTTCCACTTCTCAAAAAATTATAGAATATTCTTACCGTCCATCCCCCGCCATCCGTCTCCATATCACAGTACGCCTTAAATCCAGCGCCACGTGCCGGGTAGATTTTGTAAACTCCACTTCTGTAACGTTTGCGGTCTAAATCCGAGCAGTCCCGAACACTGTGCTCTGAAATAGCGTAGACACTATTTTAGTGTATATGTAATTCGGTATGAAGAATATTAAGATTGCAAAATAAAATTGTTTTTTCAAATCGCAACACTATAGCATTTTTCGACAAACATACATAGTTAGCAAATTGATATTCAGAACAAATCCTTGTTATAATCAAATTAAGAATTATTTTATCAATATCTTTAGCTTCTAAAATAAAACGACCTTTGCTTTTGTTTTGGTAATTTTTTTACTGATCAACCTTGCCTTTCAATTCTGCACTGAAAGTTAAATATCTTAGCACAGTCTATAAATGATTCCCTTACTCTCGAAATGAATAGCATAATATCTTCATGTTGTGCTCATGTTACTCAAGTGTTAATTGTAACCTTTTTATATAATTCTGTGATGCTTTTAACTTGTAAACAATTTATCAAATCTAACTTAAAATGCTATATTGTACATCAACGTTGAATATATATAGTTAATCAGATACATATTTGTACAAAATAAGAACAGAAGATTACTTCTTTATATAACATATCAGAGAAGAATCTTAGAGAAGGAATACATACATAAATTTCGACTGATTTGTATAATACATAAGTGTTATACCTGAAGGCAGTAAAGACCTGTATTTACCAGTTGCCAAAATGCTAAGTACTCGTTCTGCCGTTTTTCCATAAAAGCAAACACCTTAAAAAATATCATTCATTTTAGTGTAAAGAGGTTAAAAAATAAAAACATAGTATACAAAGATAAACAGTGTTAATAATAAGGCAATAAATGAACAATGTATATAAAATTAAAAAAAAAACAAAAGTTTCACTTTATTATAATTACCAGAATCAGAAGTTGATGTTAGAAAATGTCTATCGGCATTTGTCACCACTACCAATACAAAAATAGACAACATTATGAACGGTGTATGCATGCTAGATTGATACATTTTGAACGTAGCATGCATACAATTGAAACTAGTATACGACTTACACGTTGAATTTTAATGTCAAAAGTGCGTGACTAATTATCGTAACAGATTGGAGTGTTTAACATTTTTAAGAACAGTATTAATTTTTTACGAATTAACATTACTTCCTTATCTGTTTCTTGGAATGTTTTATTTTCAAGTTTACTGTGTTCGTGTTGATCTGACCATTTTAAATACTTTGTGGACTGTACCTTTCAATTACATTTTATGATGAGACGTCTTTAAACTTGTAAAGATTTGTTTCAATTTTTTTCTTGCAATGTCTTTATCATGATTAGTAAGCTTTTGAAGTACCGTATTGTTTTGTTCAAGTAAGTCGTCATCCTGTTGGAACCTACATTGTCCAATTGTCATTTGTTTATTGTTGATAGTTTATTTTAATTTTATGACATACGGCCAACATAGGTAGAGGGGGTGGTTTTGCCGAATTAAAACTAGTTTAACCCACATTTTTGTTTGGTTTCAAAAGGTGAACATTTGAATAATTACAAGCAAAAAGGCCATGCTGTGAAATATACTCCGATGCTATATAGATATTCTTTTGTTTATCTGTATGAACATTTCGTAAACGATTAAACAATACTAGAGATGATAGACTTTTATATAATCTAACTATGTATTACGATGGTCTTGACCTGATTTCGACCAAAACTGTAACAAACGGAGCAAGTGAAAAACAACTGCCATATTAAGATTATGTTTAGTAGAGTGAAAGTACAGTAGATGTTTATTCAAAAAGTTTATGTATTTGACTAATTCCAAACTTAAATAGTAAAAAGTAATTAGCGCTGTCTATATTTTTATTCGAAACTTGGTACAGGCATTTCCTTATATTGAAAATCTGGTTTTATAGCTAGCTAAACCTCTCACTATGACAGTCGCATAGAAATCCATCATATTGACAACAATAAAAAAACAGACAAAATAGGTAAAAATGTCAAAAATTGGGGTACAGCAGTCAACTTTTTTCGACTACCAACAGCTATATTTTATCGCCTAGGTGATCGAGTGTTATTGGGCGCTGGACACAGTGCAGGCAATGTTGAAACGATGTAACAGAAGCAGTGGTTCGAATACCGCCGAGGGAAGAACAAAAATATGTTGACGTAGATTTGCATATCTAACATTGTTGGGCTAAATTTTAGACGAATTATATATATTGTGTCGTTAGCCTTGAATGACCACGGGTTATCCGATAGATAACGTCTGAACTAAATTGTCACATGTTTAAACATATATATATATAGAACATGTAAACTAGTGGACAGACTGACAATAAAATGTGATACATTTCAATTAGATAAACTCATTAAATAAACCAGGCTTCAATTTTTACGCGTTTTGTCTATAAAATACTACATAAGCACTATATATCAACCAGTTAGGACTCATATTTTTTTCAAATCTAATTAAAGGCCCCATTTAGAGCAAATAAAAATCAATTCAAGTCACAATCCATACAATATCCAAACATACATTGCATTAAATCTAACATACATACTAATTATTTAAGATTGAAATTGATTGAGAAAAATCGATATGGGAGGGACCAGTACAACAATGGATAACTCGTTTGATTAAATACACCTGTTATCTTTTTTTCTTGCCTCATTTTATTTATTTATGTAGATACAAAATTATTAATAAATTTAAAATCTTTATCTTCATTTGTCTTGAAATATATATCAATAATCAATCAAAATAAGAAATAAACTTCTTTAATATACTATATAAACTAAATATAAGACCCTCTTAGGTTGATCAATGCAAATCAAAATGTGATCGGTCAACATTATGTAAGTTAAGGATAAGTGTTCATACTTTATCAGTTGAAAGAGGGCGATATTTAAATTTACCGAAGCAGACAAGGATATGTCTTTGCTGGAACAATATAGACATTGAGGACGAATATTTGAAATGACCTCATTAAAAAATAAATTATGTTCTATTGAACAACAGATGACGTTCTTTGTCATATAACTTGTTTATATCTATTCTGAATAGAAATCCTTTAACAGTATTATAAATTGTTATGAATTACATGAATGAATGCTTGTTGAAACTGATCGTAAAAAAATACTAGATTTTTTTCTTTATTTTATTTTCCCATACTTATCCACTATCACTCCTTCATTGTACATATGTTATTGTAGTTTGTCTGTATTTTTTTTACTATAATCATTTATTGTTAATGTGTTATTAGTGCCAATAAACTTGTCTTCTCTTATCAATCAATTTCAGTCTTAAACAAATAAATATCTATGTATGTATAGATATTCGTTAGATATTTGTGTATTGTGGAGCCTCAAGATTGTTTACGCAAATATCACTGCTTATATTTCTAATATAGTCCTTAAAAATTAACTGATATTTGGGATTTTAATTGACGTACCTATAACAACCTGTTGTCCTGAATTGGCATGTACTATTTAAATCTGGTTGTAAAGCAATCATAAGCCAATTAATCAGAAAATGTTTTCTTGCTTTGGCTAAGCCAGTTCAGGGAAAGATCTAGAAATTTGTAAAATAGGGAAAGAGGGATTGCTGTCCAATTGAAATACAGATATCTAAAAGTTGAGAGGTTTAATTGATACATCAATATACCAGAATCCATTTCTCCTGAATATACACGACACATTTTCCACTGGACTGAAAGCAAGGAATAAATTATAAGTCAACATGTGATAGCTCTGAAGCTAAGGTCAGATTGATAAATTCAAAATGTTTCACTTGTCTTTAACCAAATGTACATCAGACTAAATAATCGTCGGTAATTTTATACCAAAAGAAGAAATTGCCCAATCACGAGACACCTCTCAAGAACATGACATTGTTTTGAAAATAGCACATTTCAACTAATAGAAGCTATCTAAAATTGGGACATACAATGTAAAAAACATAGAAAGATATTTTGGATGCACCAGTTACGTACTCTTGAAACTGATAGACTCAATGAGAGAGATGAAAAAAGTTTAATCATAAACCAAAGGAAAAATCTTTAACATCATACTTTTTACACAACACATGTAAATCTGTGAAAAATAGAACAAAATTTACGATAAGCTGTTTCTCATCAGCCTCCGATTTCACCTGCATGACTGATGAAGCTAATTGTCAAGCGAAATATTGATTAAAACTATGAAATATAACAACTATTTTTATAACACTCATCAGCGTCTTGTGCATTTATATGATTTATATACCAATATGGAGTTATTTCCTTTCAGAACGATAGGTCATTATTTTAATGAATCAACCCGGAAGATACAAAGTTTCAATGAAATGCGCTTCCGAGGTTAAAAAAAAACCTGTGCAAGGTATTTGTTTTTCTTGATTAAAATGCAGGGAACAGTTTGTTAAAGCAAGTAATCGTGAGTTGTTGCAAATTACTGTACTATTTTCATCTTTTAAAGCCCAATTGTATCACATTTATGTGTCAGATTATTAAAAAAAACGTATACAATCTGTTGACACACACCTTATTGGATGTTATTTGTGTTGATGCCCGTTTTTTTTTCGTGTTACATGAACATAGCGATTTTGTGCTGTTCTTGATTTTTTTGGCAGTTATATATTCCTTTTTCTTTTACATTATCTAATTACCAAATAGTCTCATTTTCTAAAGGATAACAGCCACGTAATTAAACTGCGATGGGGGAGTATAATATTTAATCCTGGTTCTCATTTTTTTAACGAAAAAATACTATTGCCAAACAAGATGGAGAAACCAATTATTCGGAATAAATTGTATAAAATTGTTAAAACATAATCTGCTTTTCTGTGGTATAATTGTCATGTAACATTATTTTGCTTCGTGTTGAAGATTTTGCGGTAACCTATAATTGTTAACGTCTACGTCGTTTAGTCTCTGGTTGTGAGTTGTCTCATTGGCGATCATACCATATCTTCTTTTTTTTTTTAAAGCACCCTCACTTATAAATTTAATTTAAAACAAAATACTTGCCAAATGGCTTGTTTTTTCATACACCGTAGCAATTCATTTATATCTTGCTTCATGCATTTCGAGAAACATTTTTAATGTAACTTGACAAGCCTACTTTGATTCGTCTGTTGAGTTTACTCGAGTATCAATCGAACCCCCATTCCAGAGTTTGACATTTTTAACTTACCCGGGTTAACTCGTTTAGGCAGGTTTAGTACAGTTACAAAATAGTAACAAACAAGAACAACAAAGAAGAGTGTGATACAAAATAACTGAAATTTTACAAAATATATCCAAAGAAAGGCGTTGTTAAGTGAAATTTATTTTTTGTTGGTTTTTTGGGGGGAATTACATGAATATTTTTCTTGTGTAAATACTGTCGGTGATGTTTATCAAAAGAACAGAAAAAAATATATTTTCTGGATTTTGAGTTGCTAAATGTGACTCTAAGGGGACAACGGGGTAAGATACATTTTTTAAATGAATATAATGGCCTAGTTAAAACTGGAAATGATTAAATGATAGAAATTCTTTAATTTTATTATGTCACAAATTTAAAAATAAAGTTTATTGTCGACGTCAATAAAAAGATTAAGTACTGATGCTATAATGATATCTTCCATTTTGAAATTCAACTGGAGTCGAGTTTTCACTCCGATTTGGGAAGGTTGCGCATATGGGCATTTACACTGATTTCATAACTGTAGTCAACCCTAGTTGAACGAATCTAGATTAATGAGTTGTATATCACCTTATAATTAATCCGTTGGACGTGTTTATACCTGATCGCATCGGAAAAGAATATCTCACTTTAATTTAATCGGTAAAATTGGACACAATTTCCAGCTAATCTTTGCAGATAATATTATATACATGATTATTATTTACTAAAGGTCAGATAATGCATATTTCAAGGTTTTTCTTGTCGTATAAAACACTTCGGGATTACCTACGGTCGGTCTTTTATTTGATCAATCCTGACACCCCTCGGTGTGTTATGCGACAAGAAAACTTTAAAATATGTATTATCTATAACTTAATTTAGAAACAGCATCAGTTTAAATTGATTTTCCATTTGATTGTCAGTAATATTCTGCCATTCATTGTGATACCATGGTATCTAGTCATCACCACTGTTTCTTTCTGGCGACAACAGGTTGAGCAAACATTTGCATCTATTCCCTCTTTTTCTAAAGCTCTTTTATTTGCTATCTTCCTTTTGGAATTCGAAGTGAAGATTTTCTTATTCTGTTCACTTTTTTTCTCAAAGTGTGTACCAGATGTAAAAGGTAGTTGCTCTTGTGTTTCTGTTTGTGCATCTTCACGGTTTTCAATAATAGATTGGTCAAATATTATGATCGCAGCAACGATTTCACATGCAGCTACAGATAACATAGTTTATTATTTTTTTTTTAATAAAAAAAATTATGTGTAGGCACGTGCCTAAAGTGCCTAACGGCAGCTACGCCCCTGGGCCACCTACATTTGAAATACTTGTAAAATTTGGCACAAAAGCTAGTAAATTGAAGTTCGTTTGTATACGTGTCGTCTATGCGTTCGATTTATCACCATTATTCCAGATTCTGAACCTTGGTTTTTGTAATATCGTCGTGAAAAACTGTTTTCCGCGCATCTGGTTTGCACTTGATTGATTGATAGATGGATGCTTAAAATTCAGTGGTAAACATTTTATGCATATTCATAACGAGATTAGAATTTGATAAAGGATTGAAAAAATACTGTATCCTTAAATAAAGCACAAACAGGAAAGTCTAAAAGTGCTCCATGTTCGATTGGTCCAAGATAGTGGTGTGCATGAGCGTAATTGTCGTGTCCAAGAAAGCTAAAATGGATATAAAAATATTTTCTTCCTTGTCAATAAAGAACTTAAAAAATCCCAAATATCTGTTTATTTTTTTTTTTTTTTAATAATAGCTTTTATAATTATTTGAACTAAAATTAGTGAACAATGTTGAAGATCTTATCCCAAATGCCCCTCCTTTAAACGTCTTAATCAATTTTCTTTTTTGTAATTGTTAAAAGTTTACATTGTTTAACACAAAGTGCTAATTTATAAGGGGCATCGTTGGCCAAGTAATCCAAGTAGTTGAACTACTGTATCACTATCTCGTCAACACTGAGGTTGTGAGTTCGAATCCCGCACGTGGCAGGTGCACTCGGCTCTAATCTTAATTGACTAGGATCGTCAGTTTTCGTACCGAAGGTCGGTGGTTCTCTCTGGGCAGTCCAGCTTCCTCCATCAATAAAAACTGACCGCCACGAAATAGTAAAATAGTGCTGAAAGTGGCGTTAAACATTAATCATTCAATCAATCAATTATACTGTGACATTCTGATTACAACAATAGTACCGTGCTATTTGAAAAGAGAAATACCACTATTGTTTTACGTTATATTCTTAGATCACGTCTCAGAAACTATTATAAGTGTTATGTAATGTATTTGTAATGTCACCTATGTCTTTTCTACAATTTACGTATATTTAACGCTAATAATAATATTATCTTTCTTTTTTTTTTGTCTTTTGAGAATTTTATTGTGTGTTTGATGTTTAGGGGATGAGATCTCGGTTATTATCTGTTGAAAAATGTACATATAGATGTCTGCACTGTTCATCATACTTGCTGTATTGATCATATAGGACATTTTAAAATCATATGATCATATCCACATAGAAAATGAAGAAATCGTTTACAGTTATCTCGTATTACTTCTTTATCTTGCGAAGAGAGAACACATATTTAAATGAAGGAATGCTAAATACTATTCTTTTGAAAGTTTATTTGAACAATAAATATTTCGCCCTAAATGTGGTCAGCGAAGACTTGTAAAATTGAGAATGGAAATGGGAAATGTGTCAAAGAGACAACAACCCGACCATAGAACAGACAACAGCAGAAGGTCACCAACAACTGTTATTGATAGTGTTAAAAAACGCATCAAAGATACTTGGCTTAAACTATGTTTTGAAATAATTTTTTAATTTTATTTTAAAATGCTTTGTTGTAATAATCATCAAACCTTGAATTTTGGATGAAATCGGCCAATAAACAAAATTAGACCAGACTTTATATCCCTTACATTAAATAAAAACGGTCTATCTCCAGTGAATTGTGTTGCACTACTTCTAGCAGAAATTCCAAAAGCTGTACCAGCCGCTCCCTCTACGCCTGCTTCGTTGACATTGAAGACACATTTATGAACAGCAATCTTGACGTATAAACCTTCTCTAATCTCGGTAATAAGATTTGAAAAGTTAGCTTTCAAATCGTTAAAAATATCCTTAACTCCAAGTTTTGGTAATTCTTTTGTTAGATCAAACTCGGACTCTAACTTAAATTTTGGAATGGCAACATTTACTTGTCTTAAATTAAATCCAGCGGAAATATCTTTAAAGAGTTCTGGTGTTAGCGTCGTTTCTATTTTCGGCAGCCCCTCAATTTCATGCGGTAAAACAAAGACCATATCAAAGTTTCCACCTTCGAATGGTAAAGCTATAGCAGAAAAGTCCGAACCTCGGAAATATGGAATAATTAGTTTTGTGTTCATCATTTCAACTTCAATCTTCTTGTTATTAGGGAGAAAGAAAATCTGTTTCCTTGTGGAACTTTGAGGAAATTGTTTCTGCCATGTGGCTTTAAAGTATATTGCATTTATTATAAACATAACAGTCTGTGGTTCTAACCAGTCCTCATTAATTAGATCATTTATTTTGGCGTTTGTCTGTTTTGACACCCATCTATTCATCACGAATGCAGAAGCCTTGGGTCTTGAAAAGTCCTTTAAACTTATATCGGCTCCAAAATATAGTTTTGCCTTTTTTCGGACATTTTGCAATACTGTGAATTTGTTGTTAACGAACAATCTATTTGCACTAGCCAAACTAACATTGACTCCAGCATTTTGAATAATATAGCTATTTAGTGACTTATAATATTTCAACTTTTCCTCCTCTGAAAATATGTCATTTTTGAATACAGCATTGGATATCTGTTGCTTAGATCGTCCGCTTGCTCCAATCATCAACAATAGAAACGCCGCCGTGATACTATATGGTGACAAACATACACTCTCTTGCTTATCTAATCCTTGATACAAAGATGTCGAGAATTCAATTAAACTTTGTTGATAGTCAACAGGAATTGCTGCAATCATAGACATCACCCAGTCCTCATCAGTAGAAAATGTAACACTGAAATAAATCCGACTACAGAAAACATTGTATAAAGTATGTGCAAAAAATGCAAATCGTATGTGAGTATTAACAAGATTTCGAACAAAATAATACATTGTGTGTGCTCAAATGGATAATTTTGCTAAACTGCTTAACTTAACAAATTGTACAAAAATGTAGTGTTTTTAATATGAAGTAGAAAATGTCAGGTTGTCGTCATTTGATTATATGAGGGAAAATAACTTACCCAAGTGCACATAATTAGGGTTTTTGCATATAATAAGCAGAAGCAATATTCTGATTTATTTTCTCATATTTATACATCTAGATATAATCAAATTTGCATTCATATTGAAACAAATCGTATTTCTCGGCTTGTCGCCTTTATTTCGTTTTTTTTATTCATATGAGGCGGACTTCATGCACGGTTCATATTGCAAACATATATAAGAAATATTCATATTCTGCTATGCAGATGATATATTGGTGACTTTGATAACCGCATTGATCCCAGATGAAGTTAACTTAAAATAAAGGAAACAAAGAAAAAACTTTAGTCTGCTTCATGTTTAGATTAACGTCCACATAATGACAATGTGGGTTGGTTGAGAGCTTAACGCTACGACCATAGAAATGATGTTTCCGTCGTGAACTTTCCATTTCCAAGTATCAACATTTCAGTAACATCTGCATATGGAGTATGTATCTAAGTAGATATGATATTCCAGTGCTGCAGGTTTCCTTGATTAGGGTTACTCCTGACAAGGAACCTATCACATCAAGAGTTCAAAAATAGTGAAGTTAAAGTAATCCCCTTGAACATTGAACGGACGCCACCGTTTTTTGGTTGACCGTTTTAATACCTGTGTCTCAGATGACCACTAATACGTTCCAATGTCGTAACAATATTTCCGTCCACCACTGCATCTTGATTGTGACAATAAGAAATGTGACTAATCACCGATATTTACTTGATATGAATAGCACGGTATGTGTCATGAGTAGAGCAGAAACTGCTTACCCTTTCCTGGGAACCTGAGATCCTCATGGGGTTCACGTTGTGTCTGCTTTTGCTTTCCGAGTTGTATTTTTTGCTAATTTGATTTTCAACGTCTGTGGTGTCTCTACCGATAAAAGTATCATTTATCTTTGTCCATGAAAGCATCATTCTCATTTTAAACTTTAACACTCGGTCCAGTCTTCAGGTTAGGAAATTTTGGTACTGATATGTTTTGTATTTGATAAGATTTGTCATTATATTGTTAATATAGACCAATTAAACAGACAGGACTTGGTTTTTTATACATACAAACGTGGAAATTAGAGCAAACATGACAAACTCGTAGAATGCATTTGACTTTGGATTATAAACAACTATGAAATTACAAAACTTATCCTGTCAAAAAGTTTTAAAAAAAATTCATCATAAAAAATAGTTTTAATTGAGAAAAATGTCAGCAAAGATATCAGGCTTAACATTTGGTATACAAGATGCGCGTATCATACACATAAGTCTCATCAGTTGTGCTAGAAAAAGAACAATTGAAAGGCCAAATCGAATACGAAGTTGAGGAGTATTTAAATCGAAATTAGTGCCATACACGACTAAGGCAATCTATCGCCTGGGGAAGCAAAAAATTAGCGAAAAAATAGGAATGAGGGCTGAATGATGCAATTTCGACTATTCCACAGAAGGAATGACCAATTAAGTAAATATATCGTCTTCATTAATTAATATCATCAATAAGTTCATTTTCGTTACAAGCCATAATGAGTATCTTTATGCGTAATAATTTGCAAAAGATGGATTCAACCGTGAACGGCATTGAACCTTGTATAGAAAAGAAATGCTTTAATCTTGGTTGAACCCGTGAAAAGGAACATAAAGACAGACAAGACGAGTATCTCTGCTGATTGTTGTTTTCTACTGACCCACCAACATTGCTTTGCATAACATAATTAGTTACAAACATACAACTGATATTTTTGGCATTGGGATTTATCAAGGATATGTTAGATCTTGTAAAAATACATTGAAATTTTGATCTCTTAAGTACATCGAGTGAATCTTCCCGTAGCGTTTTTATCAGCTAAGCTTTAAGGTAAACATTGGTACCTTGGGCTTTTATGCATATCGTGGTCTGATAACTTCTCTCATGATATGTTGATTGAATAAAGTCTTCAATAGGGTAGTCTTGCTCATTAAAGATTCTAGGCTTTACATTTGGGTCGCCAGACGTGCGTTTCGTCTATATATGACTCATCAGTGACGCTCAAATCAAAATAGTTGGAAGGTCTCACCAAATACGAAGTTGAACAGCATTAAAAACCGAACAATCCGAAGAGTTGTGCCAAATAAGGCTATGGCCATTTAAAAACTTTTATAGATTGAAGTTGTTATTAAAAAATACTTTTAATTTAGAAGCAAAATATTTATTTCCCGTCAAAGGGTTTTCTCATATAAAGACTTGATTCTCTTTAGACGTAGGCAATTTAGTTCATCGGTTTTGCTGAGCAGATTAACATCAAAACGGTTAATTACAACATTATCTTTTTTCGCATTTAAAAAGCATACAGAAATGCTACTGAAATATGACGTAGCAACTTTCCCCTTGGTAACTTTAATACCAGCATTATAGCGACTATAAATAAACATTCTTGGTAAATATGACCCGACACCAATTCATTGATATAGTCTTGAAATAATTTCTAGTAGTCCTTTATTCAAAAGATTTGATTTTGGATTTAAAAGTTAATAAAGCCCAAAAATTAACAGTTATCGTTAATAACCGTTCGAGCTTTAGTTTTACCGTTATCAACAGGATATGTTTGTGATTCTTTGCCATCTCTAGAGGCTTGAATACCAGTATAAACGTTGATAACACACACAGGATGATATTTTGTATTAAAATGTTCTGTCATTGTTTTGTTTATATGGTATACGGGTCCAATCACTTGCCTATCGTCTGTTATTATGCAGTCTCTTCATAACAAAAAATAGTTTTGAGAAAGAATGTCTACTCTAAAATACAAACTTTTACTGAAAAAACAAGGGCATGTCTAGTAAGTGATCATTTGATTAAAATGATTTCTGACTAGTTAGTTCGGGGATCACAACCATACTCTTTGAATCTTTAATGGCGGCCGTTGCCAATGATGCTGGTATTTTACTAATTGTAAATTTACCTGAAATAAATGAAATTTCACTTTCTCTAGCCGATTTATTGTTACAAATTTATGTAAAGGTATCCACCTGGAATAATTGGTCAGGTTTATGATGTATAACTAACTAAAAAATGTAAATAACACTTTGTAAATTGTATGCGTCCGAAGGCCTTTTCTGGATTTACCCTCATCAGGAACGCTCTAAGCCAAATGTTTGAAAGTCAAGGATGTATAGGTAAAGGTTGTATTATATTTAACATATAAGGTCTTACAACTGATATATTAAGCAATATCCAGAGGACATACTCTACAACTTGAAAATATTGCAGAGGATAAACTACCTGTTTATGAGACTTTATTTAAAGATACATTTCTACCCCCCGACCTTCTAATACGAATTTATAAAAACAATCTAGTAAGGACTATCGGATATTTTGTGAAAAACATTCGACATAATCAATATTCCCAAAACGAGTGCTTATAAATTCACCTAGATCAAATTGGTTTCCAGCTTATATTTTCCAAGTTCACATGAATTTGTACAGCCATCATAAATACTAATATAAGGTTGTACTTTAAGTCCGATTTCTAAAAATAAACTCATAATAGATACCAGGATTAAAATTGAGTACGCCAGACGCGCATTTCGTCTACAAAAGACTGTACAAATCACTGGTATAACTATAGGTCAACGTACGGTCGTCAATAATGAGTAAAACCCATACCGCATAGTCAGCTATAGGATGCCCCGAACTGACAAATGTAAAAAAAAACAAACGAGAAAAACTAACGGCCTGATTTATGTACAAAATAATGAGCGAAAAACAAATATGATTTACAGCAACAAACGACAACCACTGAATTACAGGCTCCTGACTTAGGACAGGCACATACAGAATAATGCGGGTTTAAACTAGTTTGAAGGCGCCAACCCTCCCCTAACCTGGGACAATGATGTAACAGTACAACATAAGAAAAAACTTTAAAAATCAGTTCAAAAGGGCTTAACTCATTAGATAGATACAAAGCAGAAATACATCATTCTAACAAAAACGATGAGTGGACGTGGCAGGGTACTTATACACCCCCACAACAAAAAGTACAGATCTGAAAATACTTGCAGTTACTGACAGCTAGTTCAAAGCCAATAGCAACTATTAAAAAAAATCACGCATCGACTAAAATATCAATCAATACACATCCAACATCCAATGGATTTAGTGTAAAGACGTCATTAACATAAGAGAAAAACATGACCTTGTGCAATGCCAAAATACAGGTATAGACAGATTGTAGAGCCATGAATTTGCATATGTATATAAAAATAATATTTAGTTTGATTTTAATTTACTGATACCAAATTAAAATCAATATTAATACCAATAAAAACAATATTCAAAGATCTGATTATAGTGTTGAATTGGTAACCTTTTAAAATAAGTGTATTTAAAGGATCGTAAGTTTACCCAGATCGTATTTAAATTTCCGGGCTCGGTAAACAACATCTCCGTAAAAATTAGGATGTGCTTTCCCGTCTAAAATAAGTTTTTTACAGGAACAATCAAACTTCCAAACCAAATCTTTGTATCTATGGAAGAATTTAGTAAAGGTATTAAATCATTTGTGGTAACGAAATCCCTGACTTAATAATTTACCAGTAATACATAGATTACGTTCGTTGAAATCCAATACGTCACAACTGTATTGTTAGGTCGACGGCTCATCGCCGTTTATCCTGTAACTGATATTTTTATATCATGCTGGACATTGGTAGAAAATCTTTCACCATATCTCTGATTCCTTCTGAATTTTTGGGAGGTTAACCTTAATATGCCACTGGATGTTGGTAAACAAACAACAAAGAATCAATAAATGCAGTGGTACATTATAAAAGGACCTTTTTAAATTGAATAAAAGATGACTTAACACGTTTTTACATCAAAATGTATGTGATGCTTTAATAGCAAACAGTGAAGTCTCGATCTGTTTATGAATTTGGTAACGTACATTTGTTTGTGAAAATTATTATTGTTTAGTTGATAATAATCATCCAGCTCTGACTTGTGGATGAAATCGACCAATGAACAAGATGAGACCAGATTTCACATCTCGTACATAAAACAAAAACGGTCTATTTGCTGTAAAATGACCACCACTTTTAAAACCAACTCCAAAGACTGTGCCAGCTGCTCCCTCAACTCCTGCTTCGTTCACGTTGAAGACGGCTTTATGAACAGCATACATGACGTATAACCCGGGAATTTTCTCCACAATAAGATCGGTAAAGTTAGCTTTAGAATCGTCAAAAATGTCTGTAACTCCAAATTTTGGTAATTCTGTTTTTAGATCAAACTCAGACTGTAATTTAAATTTTGGAATGGCGATACTAGTAAATCTGCTTTTCAATCCAGTGGAAATCGTTTTAAGGAATTTGGGTGTAATTTTAGTTTCAATATTCTGGAGCCCCACTTTTTCATCTGGTAAGATAAAGACCATATCAAAATTTCCTCCCTTGAATGGTAACGCTATAACGGAGAAGTCTTGTCCTTGGAAATATGGAACAGCTATTTGTATGTTCATCATGTCAATTTCAATTGTTTTGTTGAAAGGGAGGTAAAACTTTCCTTTTCTTGTGTGTTTCGGTGAAAATTGCTTCTCCCACGTTGCTTTAAAATATATGGCATTTATTATGAACATTACTGTATTTGAATCCAACCATTTCTCTTTGATTAAATCCTTTATTTTACCGTTTGTCTGTTTTGACACCCATCTATTCATCATATATGCAGATGCCTTGGGTTTAGTGAAATCTTTTAAACTTATATCAGCTCCAAAATATTGCTTCGCTTTTTCTCTGACATTTTGCAATACTGTGAATTGGTTGTTTACAAAAAGCCTATTTGCACTAGCTAAACTAACATTTACACCAGCTTGTTCAATTATATAGCTATCAAGTGACTTGTGATATTTTAACTTTTCCTCCTCTGAAAATATGCTATTTTGAAAAAGAGCAGATGATATTTGTTGCTTTGATCGTCCGCTTGCTCCAATCATCAACAATAGAAACGCAGCTGTGATGCTATATGGTGACATACATACACTCTCTTGCTTGTTTAATCCTTGATACAAAGATGTCGAGAATTCAATTAAACTTTGTTGATAGTCAACAGGAATATCTACTAACGAAGCCATTATTTCAGTCGTGTAGATGTGATTAGATACTGAAATATAAAACTGCAGACAACATTTGATTAAATATGTACATGAAAATTAATGCAAATCTTATGTAAGTAGGAAAAGCTTCGAACAAAATAATATAAGTTTTTGCGGAAACGGGCAATTTAGGTCACCTTACTTGCTTTACAAATAGTTTATAAAAATCTGTTGCGCATTTAATAAAACGTAGAAAATGTCATGTTGTCGACAGATGACGACATTATGCGGTTACTCTAGGAAGGATTTCTATGTTTGAGATTGTAATTGTTAATCCATTAATAACACTAAATCACTACACGCAAATGAGATATCCTAAAATAAAGAAACGGTGCTTTTATTGCTGTTCTTCTTGTATTCAGGTAATGCCTTCAATGTAAAAATTCTCAGATCATTGTCAGTTCAATATGGCTCCTGTCAACGGTTTATGCGGAAAAATTTGTAAGATGTGCTAAATGTCAAATATCAGCAAATTTTGAATAAAATATTGCAAATAAAAAATTAACTATACTGTGAGAAGTTCTCCGACATACAAACTTGAAAATACAGACACAATACAAACAGCCAACTACTGGGCATATAAAGATTTATGCTTAAGATAACTTTTACGAATAGAGCAATTGATTCGGGTGAACTTCATAACAAATTTCAATATACAAACTGGCAGAAAGCAACTGGCCGCAAATGAGATAATGAAGTAGCACACATATAAGGAAAGTGATCTCTGGAATAAATAATCAGGAACTGTATAGGCAAACATTTACAATTGAAACATTGAAATCTGTTTCCGGAATCCACGCACGAATAGCGCATACTTTAAAAATAAAACAAGTGAATGTGGATTTGTTTGTGATGTCCCGTGCTGTCGTTAATGGAAGATGTTCGTTGTTATTCTGCGGTTTACATGTTGTAACGATTATTATATTATTTATTTGTGCGTTTTTCTGTGCTGATTGTTCTTGCGTTTGTTTGTGCTGTATTTCTGTCACGTAGTGTTGTCATTTTAGCGATATTTTTTAACATTGCCATATAAGTGGGAGGTTTGGCTAGCCATAAAACAAGGTTCAACCCACCATTTCTTTCTTAAAATGTCCTGTACCAAGTCAGGAATATGGCAGTTGTTATCAAATAGATCGTTTCTATGTATGTTGGCGTTTGTTTTTGTTGCACTTCAGTGTTTCTGTTGTTCCGTTGTTTTCCTCTTAGAGTTGATGTGTTTCCCTCGGTTTTAGTTTGTAACCCGCATTTGTTTTCTCTCAATCGATTTATGACTTTTAAACAGGGTATACTACTGTTTCCTTTATTTATCCGGAATTTTAAGAACAATTGTAATTTGAAATATGTATTATTTGAGTAATATGAAAAGAGATGGTGATTGTGATTGAAAGAAGGTGTATGAAAAGACCAACGTGTTAGATGCTCAACGTCTCCTTTCTTTCAAACAAAAACATGTATTAAAAAATCCCGTGATCTCGTCCATTTACTGTACTTTTAACATTAAATACAATTGATTCGAATAGTTCAAGGTCAAAACAGTAAGTCGTGAATAGAAAATAAGATTAAAGAAATGCAAATGTAAGGGAAGTGCTTTAACAAAATATACATTAACTTTTCAATCAACGGGAAAATAAGTCAAATGGGATTACATGCAGCGTCTTAAAAATGCACGTATTTATTTGACAAAATAAAAAAAAATACTTTAATAGTATGTTTGAGTAATGAATTTTCGCATGATAAAACAGATCACATAGTTAAAAAAAATTATGTTCATAAGCAAATCACAAACATATATGTACTTATTGTACACCTTCAGATTTGTCTACATTTTTTGAGATGTATGTACAAAACGATACTTGGAAACATGATTTATTTGTGATTGTTATTGGCTTTGTACGACTTTGCCCCCAACTATAGAAAAGACCAGCACAATAACCGGTGTAACACGGACACTTTTTATGAATAGAGTCACTCGTGCATTCAGTGAATTCATAGGCACTTTATCGTACTCCTTGTAATCTATTTACCTTGTTTTATAAATATAATTTATATGAAAAGTGTTCATAAAAACTATAATTATAAAAAAGCTATTTATGTCCAAAAATGCTGAAATTAAATAAAGTGTCTACAAAGTTACTGACTGCAAGAGTAACTTCAACCATAAATTGTTTCCATGTACAAACCTCTCGTGGGTTTGCTTAGCAGTTAAGCTGCTATCTTTTAAATCGTCTAAATCGAACTATACGGAGGATTTCCCCTTTTCTCTTCAAGGAATTTGCTTACGTCGAATTGTGATAGCACAAAATCAGTCTCAATATCAATAATTAAACGTCCACCCATTTTGCATATAAGGATGGAAAATGAAAAATATATTGGGTCACGTGATCAATTACTGTAATTAGCATGAAATGACCCCCCCCCCCCCCCCCCCAAAAAAAATGATTTCCAAAATAATTAGATCAAAAAATTTAAAACGAGACTTAATAAATTATTTTTCATTGAATGTTATTCCCCATAAGCAGAGAAACAGCTCTTTTTATATTTATATATTTTATTCTTTATTTTATTGATTTTGATAATATTTATACATGTTTTATTTACGTTTGTCTCATTGCTCTTTCTTATTTCATTTGCATACGTTGTTGAATTTTTAAATGTCTTAAATCTGTTAATCATATTTTTGTGTTTATTTTCTTTTTTGTGTGTTTTTTTTTTTTTTTTTTTGGGGGGGGGGGGGGGGGGGGTTATTGGTCGGGGAAGGGGGCAATCCTTCCACTTTCAAAATGGGGATGGAGGAGGCAAAACATATTTTTTTGTTTGACTTTGTTTGTTTGCACGTATGCATGCTTTTTTCTTTAATTTTGGGCCTTCAATATATAGATGGTTTGAAACTTTATATTCAGGGGCATCAAGTTGTGTTATAAATAATGGACACATGTCTAAGTTTTTTTCATTTAGAAAGAGGTTGCAGGCAACTCTTTCTTACTATTTATTTATAATTGGTGTTGAATTACTATCTTTGAAATTAAAAGGTAATCCTGATATAAGGGGAATTACTGTCAACGATAATGAATCACTTTAAGCCAGTATGCAGATGACACATTCCTTATGTCAGATGGAAGGGAAATATCGTTGAGGGGAACACTTTCATGTTTTGAATCTTTTTATAAAATTTCAGGTTTGAAAATAAATGCTTCAAAGACAAAAGCACTATGGGTTGGAAGTAAAAAATATTCAGATCTTATTTTATGTCCTGACTTAACACTTCATTGGTCACATTCAAATTTTAAACTTTTGGGGATTGATTTTTCTTTAGATATGAGCTGTATCACAGAAATTAGTTTTGCTAAGAAGATTAAAGAGGTCTCTGCAATTCTGAAGAGCTGGCATTATCGTAAACTCACGTTATTGGGGAAAATTACAGTAATTAAATCACTTGCTATTTCCAAATTGGTCCACTTAATGACTGCATTGCCAAGCCTATCACATCCCAGGTTAATAGAGCTTACTTCTTTATTTTATGATTTCATATGGAATGGAAAACCAGACAGAATTAAGCGTAACACACTTACTGGTGCCATTTCACAAGGTGGACTTAATATGGTACGTCTTCATTCCTTTAATATTTATTTGAAAATTAGTCAAACCCTAGTGCTTGCTGGCAGCAGTTGTTACTGGCAGACCTTATTCAGTATGGCGGTGAAAGGATTTTACATCTTCAGAAAGAAAAGCTGATTGAGATTTCTAAAAGGTGTAAAAATTCTTTCTGGAAGGATGTTTAACTATGCTTTTTTATTGCAAAACCTAATACTGAGATTTCTGTCAGTGACATTTTATCCTTAGATATTTTGAACTTTTCTTCTTTGGATGATTTTCCGTATTACATTCAATGAAAAAAGGGAGGTGTGCATTCAGTAAGTGACCTTATTCATCATGAAAATATCAATTTTTATAAATTTGAGCAATTTCAAGAAAAAGTACAAATAACAATTTTATCAAATATTATGATATGATTTAAAAAATCCCTAACACTATGAAAAAATGCCTTAAAGAGAACTGTCTAAATCATGATACTTTCTTAAAGAAAACCATGTGAAATGTGAAAGCCAAATATGTATACAAAAACTTAGTAAATGTTGTTATTCAGCTACCAACAATCAAATTTTTGAAATGGGAAGAAATGTTGTTTATTGATACAACAGAATGGTCAAAATATTTCATAACAAAAAAGTCATGTAGAGATGCTTTTTTAAGAACCTTTCAATACAAATTTTTGCATAGAATTATAGCAACTAATACCTTTTTAAAAAAAAATTCAATTAAATGTTACCAAGTTATGTACTTTTTGTAAACTTGGAGAAGAAACCATTGAACACTTTTTCTTGAATGCCCAATAACTCTTCAATTGTGGCAGTCTTATTCAAATATTGTGAAACTTTTTTTGTAAACTTTGTTCTCAACAAAGAGAATGTGCTTCTTGGTTGCAAACATGAAAGTTTGTTATTGAATCTGCTAGTCATAATTACAAAGAATTATATGTATAAATGTAAATTATATGAAACAAAACAAAATATGGTTGAGTTAAAGAATAGAATAAAGAAATACCAATTTCTTGAATATCATATTGCAAAGAAAAATAATAAAGTCCAAGTTTGTGGAAAATTTTGGTCTCCTTTACATGTAATATTTAACTAAATATTGTTTCATATTATCTATTTTTTAGTTAAGTGAAAAGAAATAAGTTATATACTATGAGCAAATGTATGTTTGTCTTTAAAATAATTGTATTAAAAAGTAAGTCATGATACATATTGTAGCAAAACAGATGAGTGAAAAGTATTAGTGTTGTATGAGAGAGAGAGAGAGAGAGAGAGAGAGAGAGATCAAATAAAATTTATATGTAACCTTAAATACTCTTATTGTAAAAATCAATTAGTCAGAGATATATGTTGTATACTGCATTATTTTCTATATTTAACCCCTTGATACCCTTGTCAGGTGGTCGAGTATGGGAATATGTAAAATCCTGACTATTGAAAAACAAATAAGAGATTAAAAAAAAGTTTTTTCTTGGTGTGGAGGGGTATATATAAATGTAGTGGCGT